TATAAGGTAAAACTTTTACAAAGATACAAAACTGTTCCTTAGGGAGCATTATTTGTACCACATGTACCTTTTTATTCTGAGAGTGTAGATCACAAACCAGTCTTATGTTGCATGTATGGATTTTTACCTATAATGAATCAAAAGTATTCATTTTTATTTTATGTAAAAAAGCATTTGTACAGATTATGTGCTAGTGCAATTTCCTATTGTAAATGTGTCAACTTTTCTGCTTGATTAGTAACATGCATTGCTAAAGGCTTAATTTAGGCTAATTAAAATGTTATTTTCACAATATGGTGGGATACAAAATACAAAAATAAAATATTTACAAAATAAAACATTTTTTCTCCTATTTTCACAAAATAGCTTTGTAATTGAAGTTTTGGGGTTTTAGTAACTGTAGTACCATGGAACGGATATCAGGTGGCAGGGTGTCGAAGACTCTACCAAAAAGATGAGAACCGGGGGGTGGCAAACCAATTTTTTTACTATAGAAATTCATTTGTTGATATCAACAATTCAATTTGGTTGGCAGCCTATAATTACTTTTTACTAGTGAAAATGTAATTTTTTATATCAATAACTATAGTTTTTACTAGTGGAAATGCAATTGTTGATATCAATCATCATGTAAAAGGTGTTAAATGCTGGTGTTAAACATTTTTGTTGTTTTAATTGTCTGTTAAATAAGAATAAGAAATCATTCTGTTGCTAAGGGCCATTACAGTTTAAAAGAAAGAATAGTATTACTTTCGGCCAGAAAGAAAATTTAATTAGAGGCATTCCCATATTTAACTCTTCTTTAAAAAGCCCAGAAAGATAAAGTGCTCTAATAAACAGTGTCAGCTTTACACTTGAGTTTGCAGTTCTGTCTTTTTTTTTACATTGTTGTACTTTTCCCATGTGAAAAGTGGAAAATGAAATTTGATAAATAAAATTATTCTTTAAAGTCAGACATTATTTTATGTTCTGTGAGGAATGTGTTTCAATTTAGCTACTGCAAATGTATTTAAGTTAAAGATAATATGTGCAATATGTATTATTATAAAATTAATAAAGTTTTGTTTATGAACATTGATACAGCCATAATCTTCTGCTCTGCACTGTAAAAAATTTTAAGCCAGTTCAACAAAAAAAATCTTAGTACTAATTTCCTTCTGTTTTTTCTTGTTTACTCAACTTTTGAAAACATCAGCTACACTGACTGAAAATAATTTGTCAGTGAAAAAAAAATTGTCTAGTTGAGTCAACTTAACATTAGTAGTTTTCTGGAAACCTGTACCTGCAGCACAACAAATATTTTTAAGTTGTGCAAACTGAACATTTCTTGTCTGCAGGACTGAAATGACAGAAGTTGAGTGAACAAGAAAATACAAAAGGAAATTAGTACTAAGAAATTTATGTTACCAGAGCAAAAGTTGTGTTAACTGAACATTTCTTGTCTGGATGGCCTGAAATGACAGAAGTTAAGTGAACAAGAAAATACAAAAGGAAATTAGTACTAAGAAATTATATGTTACCAGAGCAAAAGTTGTGTTAACTGAACATTTCTTGTCTGGATGGCCAAAAATGACAGAAGTTGAGAGAACAAGAAAATACAAAAGGAAATTAGTACTAAGAAATTATATGTTATCCGAGCAAACACACATGGCAAAAAAGACATACATTTTACCAAAACATTCATTTTCTTGCAGTACTTCACTAAAGTACAAAAACGAGGTAGTGTATCTGTAAAAAAAAAAAAAAAAAACACAAACACTAAGTCAAATTAATCACATGAGAAGGAAACACAATTATATTAAATATATAACAATTACAGCACATCTCTGAGACTACCTTACACTATCAATTTTAATAACCTTAGAATATCCCATAAATTATTCACAACACCCTGCTGAAAAAACAGCGTATGCTGGTAAGGTATGTTTTGATGCTGGTCTCAATGCTGGTTTTGCTGGTTTCAGTGCTGGTCTCAATGCTGGTTTTGCTGGTCTAAGTGCTGCTCCTGACCAGCATTGAGACCAGCAAGACCAACATTGAAACCAGCATTAGGACCAGCAAAACTAGCATTGAGACCAGCAGGACCAGCAAAACCAGCATTAAAACAAGCAAGACCAGCATACCAGCATCAAAACATACCTTCCCAGCATATTGAGATATAAATCTTAGTATTTGTTGTAATTCATTTCAAAATCTATACTTGCATAATTACATGTTTTGTGCTGGTACCTTGGCTGGTCATGGATAAATATGATATTAAAACTGCCAGTTAAGGATCTTACTTTAGTAATAAGTGTTCCACTGTATACACCTTCAGTTCAAAATGAACGATTTATTACTATTATTTTGGTTTTGATTTGATTTTGTTTGCTTAATATACTAATAAGCAGTTGGAATATACGCGCTGTCACTTTAAGAGCCACCCTAGATAGTAAAATACACTTGGGCCAGTTCCAGCTAGATTCGCTGCCTCATCCGAGCCAGAATCGGCCCGCGAGTAATGTGCGCTGCAGCCCGGAGCTGGCGCAACTCAATATACCTTGATATAAAACCTTTTGGTATTATATTGGTACTTGATACATGGTATTACAACCATTTGAATTTATATACCAGCAAACGCAGGCTATAATGTAAAGGCAAAGTGTAGGCAATGCGTTCAACCTTTGAATAAAATGCAAACAGCATACATATCCAATAACAAAAATTATTAAACAAAGGACAAAATAAATAATAATAATAAACATTTATTGATTGCAATAAACAAATAATACTAAACTTGAATAAAATATTTTGTAGTGCACAAGAACGTCAATATAAAAATAATAATAAAACTACACAATAAAGACACACAGGAGGATTTAAAGACAAAATCTGAAATTGCACACATACATAGAAGTTTTTTAAACAACCCTGTTTTCCCAATAGACTTGAATTAAAAAATTGTACAAGACACATCTTAAAACAGCTTAATTTTATATAAACCTGAATATAGAAACCAATTTAAGATATAGCAAGAAACATCTTACAAATACCCATGACAATATGTAAAATATACAAGTCAAAATTGTAAAAAGAACTGCAGAATTCTTAATAAACATTTTTAATAAATGTAATAAATAAAACATAATAATACATTTAATGAGTGAGATGATTATATATATATATATATATATATATATATATATATATATATATATATATATATATATATATATATATATATATATATATATATATATATATATATATATATATATACATCTCACTCATTTAAATGTATTATTATGTTTTATTTATTACATTTATTAAAAATGTTTCTTAAGAATTCTGCAGTTCTTTTTACATTTTTGACTTGTATATTTTACATATTGTCATGAGTATTTGTAAGATGTTTCTTGCTATATCTTAAATTGGTTTCTATATTCAGGTTTATATAAAATTAAGCTGTTTTAAGATGTGTCTTGTACAATTTTTTAATTCAAGTCTATTGGGAAAACAGGGTTGTTTTAAAAACTTCTGTGTATGTGTGCAATTTCAGATTTTGTCTTTAAATCTTCCTGTGTGTCTTTATTGTGTAGTTTTATTATTACTTGTGCACTACAAAATATTTTATTCAAGTTTAGTATTATTTGTTTATTGCAATCAATAAATGTTTATTATTATTTATTTTGTCCTTTGTTTGATAATTTTTGTTATTGGATATGTATGCTGTTTGCATTTTATTCAAAGGTTGAACGCAGTGCCTACACTTTGCCTTTACATTATAGCCTGCGTTTGCTGGTATATAAATGCAAATGGTTGTAATACCATGTATCAAGTACCAATATAATACCAAAAGGTTTTATATCAAGGTATATTGAGTTGCGCCAGCTCCGGGCTGCAGCGCACATTACTCACGGGCCGATTCTGGCTCGGATGCGGCAGCGAATCTAGCTGGAACTGGCCCAAGTGTATTTTACTATCTAAGGTGGCTCTTAAAGTGACAGCGCGTATATTCCAACTGCTTATTATTATATTAAGCAAACAAAATCAAATCAAAACCAAAATAATAGTAATAAATCGTTCATTTTGAACTGAAGGTGTATACAGTGGAACACTTATTACTAAAGTAAGATCCTTTACTGGCAGTTTTAATATCATATTTATCCATGACCAGCCAAGGTACTAGCACAAAACATGTAATTATGCAAGTATAGATTTTGAAATGAATTACAACAAATACTAAGATTTATATCTCAAGGCAACTAGTAATTCAGATTGATTGCTCTAATTGCCCTGCTGAAAAAAAACAAAAAAAAAAAACAGCATATGCTGGGAAGGTATATGTTTTGATGCTGGTATGCTGGTCTTGCTTGTTTTAATGCTGGTTTTGCTGGTCTTAAAGTTGGTTTTGGTGGTCTCAATGCTGGTCCTAATGCTGGTTTCAATGTTGGTCTTGCTCGTCTCAATGCTGGTCAGGAGCAGCACTTAGACCAGCAAAACCAGCACTGAAACCAGCAAGACCAGCATTGAGACAAGCAAAACCAGCATTGAGACCAGCATCAAAACATACCTTACCAGCTTACGCTGTTTTTTCAGCAGGGTGTTGTGAATAATTTATGGGATATTCTAAGGTTATTAAAATTGATAGTGTTAGGTAGTCTCAGAGATGTGCTGTAATTGTTATATATTTAATATAATTGTGTTTCCTTTTCATGTGATTAATTTGACTTAGTGTTTGTGTTTTTTGACTTAGTGTTTCTTGAATCGCAAGAAAATGAATGTTTTGGTAAAATGTATGTCTTTTTTTGCCATGTGTGTTTACTCCGATAACATTTTATTTATTAGTACTAATTTCCAATTGTATTTTTTTGGTTCATTTAACTTCTGTAGTTTCAGACCATTCAGACAAGAAATGTTCAGTCAGCAGAACTTAAAAAAACAGAGCCATGTGTGTTTGCTCGGATAACATATAATTTCTTAGTACTAATTTCCTTTTGTATTTTCTTGTTCTCTCAACTTCTGTCATTTTTGGCCATCCAGACAAGAAATGTTCAGTTAACACAACTTTTGCTCTGGTAACATATAATTTCTTAGTACTAATTTCCTTTTGTATTTTCTTGTTCACTCAACTTCTGTCATTTCAGGCCATCCAGACAAGAAATGTTCAGTTAACACAACTTTTGCTCTGGTAACATATAATTTCTTAGTACTAATTTCCTTTTGTATTTTCTTGTTCACTCAACTTCTGTCATTTCAGTCCTGCAGACAAGAAATGTTCAGTTTGCACAACTTAAAAATATTTGTGTGCTGCAGGTGCAGGTTTCCAGAAAACTACTAATGTTAAGTTGACTCAACTAGACATTTTTTGTTTCACTGACAAATTATTTTCAGTCAGTGTAGCTGATGTTTTCAAAAGTTGAGTAAACAAGAAAAAACAGAAGGAAATTAGTACTAAGATTTTTTTTGTTGAACTGGCTTAAAATTTTTTACAGTGT